ATTTAATGAGTTTGTGTTTCTTCGCAAAACATAGTGTAGTACCACTGGGTTCAAATGAAATGCAAACGGCGGAGTGTGTGCACGTCCAAACATGCTTAGTCATTTGGAGGCCTCTGGAAACCATTAAAACTGCGAATGGAAAGTAGGGCACTGCGAGGTTGTGCCTCCTACTCCGATGTCTTTCACCAGCGAACAGCACGCTGCGCCGTTTGGTGCCGGTGGTGTGCTGGAAGTTCGGCCACAGCTACTTTCGTTGGCTCGGCACGAACCACGCGAGGTAGCTTGTCGCTCGCGGCAGGAGCTGAGCAGGAGCAGGCTGCTCTTGCGCGCGTGTCCGTGGAGCATGCCCGAAGCGTCAGGGTCCCTTCTAGCTTGCGTAGTTTTCTTGTTTATCCTTATTTTTTATATCGCATTTTTTAAGATGTAATGCTTTGCGGGAGCCATGCACTCTTAATCCTTCACGAGGACATCTGCGTGGTTTCGATAACTGACATCGACCAAGCCCCACAGACCTTCCGTTCGAGAGAGAACTATTTCACACTTCTGACACACGGGGTGATCATTTAATGGGTGCACTGAACCAGATCCTGGCTGCTCGCAAAATATGGCTTGTGAGTAGGAACGTTTAGCAAACTGTTACCGTGTTTCGCGTACCGCACTACTGCAGCCTTTGAAATATGCTTTTAGGCGCGTGCCCGGATGATACTGTGACCGCGGCGCGCGCGCTTAAAAGTATGCTTCAAAGGCTCCCGTAGTGCGGTACGCGAAACACGGTAGCAGTTTGTTAAAAGTCCCCAATGATAAACTTACTGGATTTGGTTAAAGTGCTTGGTGAATACAGGAGCTGGTGTACCTGTATGTTGGTTATTGCCGGCGCTGGAAGTTCTGGCGAGTACTAACATAAAGCAGCGCACATTACTAAGATAAAACATCGCGTCATATAAATAGTCTGACGAAAACTAAGATAAAACAGTGATTTACCAACTAGCTCAAGTTAGCACTTTACTACGTCTGACGAGTAGTTTGCTACGTCTGACGAGTAGACGCGAGCTCCTGGAGTGCAAGCGTAGTGCAGTGCAGCATGCGTAGTTCAGTGCAGCATGATTGCGCTGGACGGTTTTGCTTTGTTTGCACTTATGGCGAGACAGAAATAGTAGTGTTGCACGAATAGTGAAATTTTTGCTCGAATTGAGTTCGAATCGAACAGTGCTGCATATTTGCCAGAATTAAAACTTCAAATTGAATATGGAATACGAATTATCTTACTTTTAATCTACATAAAAAAAAGCCTCGGCAAAACAAATAAAAAATGGAAACGCGCTCCTTCCACCGCAAGCACGTTGAATGAAGAGTCCGAATAGAAATGGCCTGAATGATCTCTTGTCAGCGAAATACTTAATGCGCAGCTGAAGAATCTTTTATTCACGCGTGGATGTTCACACCGCGTCGACAGCTGCTAGATGGCTTGAGAGATACGGTTGAGCTGCTTGAATCGGAGCGATGTGCTGCGCCACCTAGCGGCGGCCCCTGGCTTGACAGCCGGGGTAGCGAGGGGTTTGCTAACGAGTCGACGAGGCGGGATCAATTATATTCGACACGATTGGTAATTAATGCTCATATTGCGGATGCATCAACTGGTTTGTAGCCCCAGCCACTTGGTAGTG